GCCTTGATAATCTCTAGATTCATAACATCAACACACATAGACATGCATCAATAACACAAAACCAAGAGATAAACACATGAACATCTATTCTACCATACATAGACATATGAATAGAATGAAATGATCAATTGGAAGTATTAAACAACATAAATCATTATAGAAACAAGATTCATATATAAATCAAATGTCAAGACAAGATTACAACACAAATCCCCTCAAAATACAAAAACATCAAGGTCTAAAAGGCATGCTTAGGGCTAACTCTAGCCCCAAGAGGATGTTTAACCACTCATTGATGTAGTCATCCAACCCTCAAGGGCCATCTCCATGGTAGGAAGTATCTTCCCCTTGATGGAAACCCTAGATGAATGGAAGAACTCCCAAATGGTGTGTGTCTCCCTAATCTCTAGCCTCCTCTCCAAGATTGTATTTGATGCTTCCCTCTTGATATCTATGTAAAAATGGCTCAAAATCCTTATATAGGTAACTTAAGTGTCACACCCAATGGTCAGGTCTTGTGCACTAGGGCCCTCTCAATGATTGCACCATGAGCCATCTTTTAATGAGCTGGACTCTGTTTTATTTCGGACTTAAGGAGGTTCAATCGATCGAGTTCAGATGAGATCAATCGAACTATGGCCAGATCCATCGAAGTAAGGCCAGATCGATCAATCCTTGGTGGCGCCTTTTTGAAAAGAGACAAATCTGAGATATTTTTGGGATATTTTGGGAAAAAGACAAATGTGGTAGGTGGGGATAAGATCAAGAAACTTCGATTGATCTGAATAAAAGTTGGATCAATTGAAGATGGAAATTCTTAAGGATAAGGACAAGGGGTTTGATCCATCTTGGTGAGGTGAGATCAATCGAAGATTGCTGTTTTCCACCACTTTACTTCCACTTTACTCCTTTCTTCCATCCAGCTTAAGATTGCTTCTTTTACGTTCTAATTTGGCTGAATTAACTTATTTTGGGGGATAAGCACCTGAAAAGGGCAATAACATAAAATTAATCTTAAAACAGGAAAATAAGATGGATAAAGGTCCTAGATTACTCAAGCTTAAGGGGTTTAAATGCGCACTTTTCAGCACTCATCATATTAAACCACATAAATCATTATAGAAACAAGATTCATATATAAATCAAATGTCAAGACAAGAATTACAACACAAATCCCCCCAAAATACAAACCATCAGGGTCTAGAAAGCATGTTTTGGGCTAACGATATCCCTAAGAAGATGTTTAGTCACTCATTGATGTAGTCATCCAACCCTCAAGGGCCATTTCCATGGTAGGAATGATCTTCTTCTCCTTGATGGAAACCCTAGTTGAGTGAAAGAACTCCTAAATGGTGTGTATCTCTCTAATTTGTAGACTCCTCCAACCTCTCTCTTGTATATGATTCTCCAAGATTGTATATGTGTAAAATGGCTTAAAATCCTTATATAGGTAGCTCAAGTGTCACACCCAATGGTCAGACCTTGTGCACTAGGACCTCCAAATAATTGTACCATGAGCACACCTTTTTATTAGCTAGAACTCTATTTTTTCGCACTTGAGAGGGCTCGATCGATCGAAGTGTGGTGAGATCGATCGAACCATGGCGGCACCATTTGGAATACTGAAAAATCTGAGATATTTTCAGGATATTTTGGGAAAAGGACAAAAGTGGTAGGTGGGGATAAGATCAAAGAAGTTCGATCGATTGAAAGAATGTTGGATCAATCGAAGATAGAAATTTCCTAAGGATAAGGACAAGAGGCTCGATCCATTTTGGTATGGTTGGATCGATCACTATGAGATCGATCGAAGCTTTGTCTAATCGATCAAAGATTGTTGTTTTCCACCACTTTGCTTCCACTTTGCTCCTTTCTTCCATTCAGCTTGAGACTGTTTCTTTTATGCTCTAATTTGGCTGAATTAACTTATTTTGGGGATAAGTGCCTGAAAAGGGAAATAACACGAAATTAGACTAAAACGGGAAAATAAGTAGAATAAGGTACTAGAACATTCAAGTTTAAGGGGTTTCAATGCGCACTTTTCAGAGCTCATCACACCCCTAAACTTAAATATTGCTAGTCCCTAGCAATGAATTACAAAGTAAAGGAATGAAATGAATAACTATACAACTATGAACTAGAAAGCAATAAATAGATAACGCCACTTTCATAGGGAACATGATTGAATTTAGTGCATGCAACAAGCCTTTTAAACCCCTAGGTTACCCCTAGTGGACGAGTGAAGTCTCGTGAGGGTTTCCAGAAATGATACCCGTAAACATTAAGCTCATTCTCACAAAAAGGCACCAATATTGCAAACTAGCATTGGGAAGAAACTACCTCAAGTACGCAATTTTTCAACCATTTCCAAGTAGTCTCCCAAAATTTCAACATCAAGCAAGCAAATATGGTCCTCCACACATCAAGAAAATTATCATGCAAATCAAAACAACTCTAGAATTCTTTAAGAGTGGATCGGCATCAAATATGTTGATATCTAAGCCAACTAAAGAAATAATCACATCCTTACCCTCAAACTAGCACACAAATCTAATACCGATCATCAAAACAAAGAGTGGACCTTTTATTAAAGCTTTAGTCATCTAGGTGCGCTTATTCTTTCCACTCAATTTTTATTATTATTATTATTATTATTATTATTAAGTAAGTTCAATTTAAGCTAGAGTTTGAGCCTTCCACCTTTCGGCGCGATAAATTCAGTGCGTGATGAGGCTAAAATCCCGACTACTCAATAAAAAGGGATTGTTATCCACTTTTATCAAGAATGAAAGCTTTCAATGCACTACTTGCTCAATTGGGATATAACCAAATCAATAGTCAATAAAGCATGTACCCCATAAATGAATGCTGATATGCGCCTGTGCTAGTGTATAATCCTAGAGTGAATCTCAAAACAATCACAAAATCAAGATGATGTGGACCACAAATGCAAGTATGATATCAATCTTTCAAAAAATTTACTCCTAAAGGGCATCCATAAGGCATACAAGGCGTATTGGACTCTCAAGTCAGACAATTTTTAAATTCTAAGCAATATAGTCCTCAAAATATCAAAATCATAGCTAGTCATGGACCAATCATATAAAATCCCTTAAATACACAAGTCATGCTTAAAATGTTGAATTGAAAACAAACACTGAAAAGAACACACATTACCCCCAAACTTAAATGGCACAGTGTCCTTAATGTGCAAAGAGAACAATATAAAGAGGAAAGAGTATAAAAAAAAAATGGCTAGAACATAAGTATCCGAAGTTGGTGGTATAACCCCCTTGGGATTTACTATGGTCCTGAAAAAATAACACTGGGATAATATCTCATCAGATAACAAAGGGGATAATAATAATGCACAGTGGATATGCAAGTGTAAGTGTGATAGTAAATGAACTAAGGAGAGAGGAATAAGGGTGGTCCAGAAAAATTTGGGCAGCACTCTCTCACTGAAGCCATTGGGATGTACCTGATAATGGAGTCCATCACAGATAGATATATCAATATAATAATTTGAGATCCAAAAATATCATGCATAGGATAGAGAAAATAAAAGCAGTATATGGTACAACACAGTATCGGGCCAACAGACTGGCCGCAAAAATATAGTAACAATATCAAAGTAACAATCAAGTAGCACATATATATAAAATGACGAGAGACGAATATAGATCAAGCAGAGGAGGTAGGTCTAGCGGGGCATGATCCCCGGATGTCTCTGGAGAAGCTCTGCAGTGCAGTCAGCACATCCGTGAGGAAGGAGGTCACATCTGCTCGGAGAGAGACAACCGCATCCTCTAATGCCTGGTTATACTCTCCTAGGCTGGGTGTCTAAACTGGAGTGTCAGGGATGACTGGATCAAAAAACTAAGGCTCATCCTGACTCTGCTCCTGTGAATGTAATGGTGACCCTGCTGGAGAGTGATATGGTGACTCTGCTAGAGGCTCCTGCTTCAGGTCTATGTACATATGCGCATCCGTAGCCGTCGGTGCATTTGCTGGATCATCTGCTGCTGTTGCTGCCTCTGCCTCCTCCATCTCTTCCAACTCTGCCTCCTCGGCTGCCAAGATAGCCTCGATCTGTACACTCTTGATAAGAGCATTATAGCTCTTATTCTAGTCCTTCTTGCCATAGTGGCAAGCCCCTGCCTCAGTATGCTTCTATGAATGGAAAGGATAGTGATAGTCGCTGAGGATCTGAGTAATCAGATGTGAAAAGGGGAGGAATGTGGCTCGCCTAGGCTTTATCTTGCTAATGTAACTCGTGTAAAGCCTCATCATGACAATCCGGTAGAGTGCAGGAACAAAAAACCAATGGCCTATATAGAAGACATAGAGGGCTGCAAGAAAATCTGAACGGCGCTGAATCTTATGGCCCGCCGTAAATACATTTCGGTATAACACCGAATCGAAGAACCATAAATCAGTAGGCAAATAAGTCCTGGTGGCAAATGTCTCACCAGCACTAGCAGGGCCAATAAGATCTGTGGCCATGTCTACATCAGATGCCCTCCTGAGAATAGGATAATTAAGGCCAAGAGGGCAGATATGTGGGCACTAAAAGGATGTGACCAGTGTCTCGACTGTAATGCGAATGAGATGGCTATCAATGGTGGTTTATAACTCTGCCAAGTTACTCGGGGCCGATCAAAGGTTCTGGTAGAACAACCGGACGAGCCACGGGTAAACTAGATAGGCCACCGGGGCCAGAATAGGTGAAATGCCACTGCGGGAAATCTCATCATCGGTCACCTTGGTCAGAATCGACCGAAAAAAGAAAGTAGTATCAAATATGGACTCATGCACCACTGTAAGGCACGAATATCTACGATCAACCCTATCGCGAATTATGCCGGGCAGTGCCGATGGTGGACTAGGTGAGGGAGGTGGTGTCTACTCGGCCTGCTCAGCTGATGGAGAAGACGAGGATGCAGAAATAGAAAAGGATGAGCGCTCGGACTGAGCTGGAGCTAGTTCCTCAAGCTCCTCTACTCATTGCCGTACTCTACGCTCGTATGTCCGGCAGGCAACGGTATTAACTTGAGCCATGGTCTGCAAAAAGGAAAAAAACTTGCAAATGAAATTAGTAATAGGCGTTAATATGTGAAATGAAGAATTGAAGCACAGTAGATAGAAACATGTTTATCAAGTTAAGACAGACAATTCAGAATAAAATACATGAATCTATGCAAGTTATAATGCAGCCAAGGATAGATAGTGACTATTCCAATAAAGTGAAACATGCTAGATATAACAGAGCAGAATGCAACCAATATGGAAAACACAAGCATTAGGCATAACTGAGATAGCATGGAACACAAAAGAGGGTATGCAAAATAGTGAGGTTCGATCAATCATGAAAAAGATGAGATCGATCCAGGTTGGATCGATCAGGATATGGTTGAGATCGATCAGAGCACTACTATGATCGATCGAACCTGTAGAAAAACACGAACAGTCACAGATTTGTGACATGGATAACACGGGGGCACCTAAATATGCTTGTAGTCCCCTATACACCTTAACAAGTAAAGAATAGTCACTCAAGTCAGCACGTGACCCCCGAAATCAAAATCGGAAACAAAATATATACATATATATACATATGGTCAACAACTCAAAAATGGAACAACAAATCATGGGAAGCTTAAGATCTAAGCATAGAAACATCTAAAACATGTGGATCAACTTGATGAAGTTCAAAAATGAAAAACAAGATTAAAAGCTTACTAAAAATGAGAGAGAGAAGTGGACCGAAAGAGAGATGATATCGAGATCAAGTTTAGAAAGCTTGGGAGCTCGCCGGAGATTCCCGGAGGTACGGAAGATGAATGAACAGTAGCGGGAGAGAAAGAGGGCTTTGGATCGATGTTGAAATCGATCCAAATGACCCTTAGGTCATATTTTTAAAAACTGTCTCCGACCTCGATCGATCACTTGGGTGATCAGATTGATCGAACCCTGATCGATCATAAAGATATTCAGATTGATCGAATCCACAAAATGACAAATATATATATATTTTTTAAAAAATTTGAAATTTGAAAATAAAAAAGAAGTCAAAATCAAAAGGAAACACACAGATCGATTGAACATAGATCTCGATCGATCCAACAGGTGAAAACCTGCAAACATGTTCAAATGATACACAAAGAGGTGATTTTTCATTATTTCAAAAAAATTTCTAAGTATGGAATGAAGATCGATCCAAGGGAAAACTGGATCTATCTTGGAATTTTTGGATCGATCAGAAATCAAGTTCGCACGATACACAGAGAACTAAAATATGCAAGAAATTTTCGCACGATAGGACAGAGAGATGATTGGATACAGAGATGATGTTTGATCGATTGAACCTCCTTTTGAGATCGATCGAACAGGCATTAAGTGCTTAATTCGAAAATGACAATACAAGCATTCTCAATAAAAGTCCCCAATAATGTGTATGAACCCAGAACATATCTAGACGACGCAAGAAATAAAAGGTAAAATAGAACTAAGGGAGGAATAGGGTTATCAACCCTATAAAGCACTAGTGTTTAACGTCTCTAGCAAGACATTGGACTCTTTTAGCCCGGATCGAAAATCTTGTTGTGCATCCCCTCCTTAGTGAGGTGAAAATCACTTTGAACCCTACCCAACAAATTATTCCCGAGAGAAGTCATTGGATTTGATTCAACAGAAATTGACAGTCCTTGATTAAAGTAACTCTTGAGCTTCCATACCCTTTCAACACTTGGTTTGGACACATTTCTCTTTGAACTCATTTTGGAAATTCCATTGACAAGCAAAGACTCATATTTTTCAAGTTCCTTTTCAATGCATTTTTCAACGACACATACTTCTTCATGCTTGTCTATTGAATTCAGGGTTGGATTGAATATGTTCAACTTCACTTTCATATGGCCAAATGAAATTTTCATTATCCCTATCTTACAATTTATGTTGGCATTAGCAGTTGCCAAGAAAGAATGGCCAAGCATAATCGGAATTTGACTTTTGGGATTCGGAACCGGTTCCATATCTATGACTACGAAATCGACTGGAAAGAAGGATTTATTAATTTTGATCAACACATCCTCAATAATACCCCGGGGCTTTTTGATGGATCAATCGGCTATTTGTAAAACTACCGACATCAGTTTTAAATCTCCTAAGCCCAATTTGACATAAATCGAATATGGAAGAAGGTTCACACTTGCTCTTAAATCGAAAAGAGCCGATTAATGACATGGTCACCAATAATGTAAGAAGTAGTAGGTGAACTGGGGTCTTTGAATTTTGGAAGTGTGTTATGTTGTAAAATATAGCTCACTTGCCCGGTCAAAACAACTTTCTTTGGTACTTAGCTTTTGTTCTTCATCTTTTAGGTGCAAAGATCTTTTAAGAATTTGGCATAAGCCGAAATTTGTTTAATTGCATCCAAGAGGGGAAGATTGATCTTCACTTGCCTAAACATTTCAATGATTTCGTTCACTTTACCTTGTTGTTTTTGAAGAGAATTGGATCCTTTTAAGGCATCCGAAAATGGAGCTTTTGGCTCATATCCCTTTTTAAAATCCTTTTTCAAAACTTTTTAAGCATAAGAATTTTTCAAATCATTTCTAAATTCTTTCTAAACAAAAGGATCATACACATGCAATGAAGGAGGAGTAGGGTGTAAAATGGGACCGGTGTCAACTTTTGGTCGCACCGATTTACTCTCTTTATTTTGAATACCAACTTGGTTGTCAACAATTTTTCCACTTCTCAAGGTTATCACCTCACTGATATGCTGAATTGTGTGACTTCCGATAAGAAATTTGTCTCCACAACAAATTATTGTTTGGGAGGTGGATTCAAAGGCATCTTCCCTTGTTCTCTAACAATCAAGGTACTAGCTATTTGCCCGACTTGGGTTTCTAGCTTAGCAATGAATTGCAAATGAGAATGAAACAATTGAGTGTTTGCCTCTAAAGTACCTAAAGCTGTCAACACATTTTCCTCAAAACGGGGCTCGTAGAATTTCCTTGAGAATAAGATGATTGATTAGGAAAATGAGAGTTAGAAAATTAATTTCCATGTGATTGAAAAGATGATCTATAACCTTGGGAACCTTGGCTTTGCATTGGGGGTGAAACATACTTGCCTTGAAAACCACCTTGGGGAGGGCTTGAGCCTTCCCCTTGGCATTTCCAAGAGAAGTTTGGATAGTTCCTCCACCCTTGATTATAATGTGTGCCATAACGGTTGTTCCCTTGGTTAACAAATGTGGCATTCACTTCTTCATGGTTCTCACTTTGCACATGTCCATGGGGACAATTGGAAGTAGAATGTAAGACACTAGAACAAGTCATACAAGATTCATTGGAATTGCGATGTGAATGATTAAGGGAGGAAGATATTTGATTCACCGAATTTTGGTTGATCAAAAATTGAGCAAACCTTTGAGATAAGTATTTAACTTCGGCGGCTATACCATTGGAATTGTCAACTTGATATAAGCCGACATTCTTCCTTCCACTTAGATTTCTACCATTTTTGGAAGATAAGGATCGATGCATTGAATTCTCACTCATGCTCTCATATAATTGCCAAAAATCATTTTCATGCTTATCAAGGTAAAAACCACCTATAGATGCATCAACCATACCCTTGTGGTTATCCGGCAAGCTTTCAAAAAAGAATTGAACTAATTGCCACTTAGGAATGTCATGATGTGCACACTTCCTAAGCAAATCATTAAATCTTTCCCATGACTCATGAAACATCTCCCCATCCCCTTGAGAAAATTCTTGAATAGAAGTTCTCATTGCATTAGTCTTTAAACCGGATAGTACTTTTTCAGAAAGTCTTGTTGCATTTCAGCCCAAAAAGTTATCGAAAAAGGCCTAAGATTGTTGAACCAATATTTAGCCTTATCTTTAAGGGTAAAGGGAAAGAGTTTAAGTCTTAAAACTTCTTCCGGCATGTTCGTGTATTTCATAGTGGAACACACTTCAAGAAACTCATCCAAACACTTGTAAGGTTCTTCACTTGGAAGTCCATGATAGTTGGGAAGCATTTGAATAGTTTACGGTTTAATTTATAGTGATGTGCTCTAAATGGGGGCAATTGAATACATGTACGCATTATATTTATTTGGCACATAATGATCACGTAAAGCAAAAGGAGGATTCATAACCAGTGGTGCTACATAAGCACCTTGATTTACTTGAATAATAGGAGGTTGTGGAGCAAAAATTGGCCAAGGCATTCCCAATGAAACTTGGCCTTGTTGTTGTGGAATGAAAGGTCTTGGCTTGCCTTGTGGTATGTGAATGTTATCATGATGCATATTAGGGTGGAGGATACCTTGTTGGTCGATGTGACCAAGGTCCTCCACATGGTCATCATTTTGCTCCTCCATTGGTATAATGGAGTAATGCGAGCTACCCCTTCCCCTAGGATTACAAACAATGGATTCAAGAGTCAAATTAAGTGGGACAAGAGTAGGATTTAACGACCTACGACCATGCATGCAAAAAAAAAACAATAATTAGAAACAAGCACGTAGCAATCACTTCGCCTCCGCAACAAATCAATCAACAACAATCCTCCACATACATCAATCCCATACTCCCATGCTTTGAACACTATGCAAGAAAAAATTAAATTGCCTCCATGCGGGCTCATGATCTATCTAAGAAAGTAAAAACATGCCTCCACGTGGGCTCACTATTTAACTAGAGATTGAGTTAGAAAAGCTCACAAAGGGTCCTTAAGCAACTTCAAATTAATTTCAATTTTTTTTTTTCTTTCTTTGCCTTGCTTTGCTTTTGCAATTCTTTTAGATTTTTAGCTTTCGATGCTTAGCTTAGCTTGGCTCTTTGCTTTTGAATTCTCCTTTGCTTCACTTCTTTTAGCTCAGTTCACCTAGCCAATGAAGAACAAACACAATAAGTAACCAAAATAAAATAAAGTAAAGACACGATCAAAAGAGTACTAATTCCTAATTGTTTCCAAAATACGGCATTGCACAATCCCTGGCAACAGTGCCAAAACTTGGTGTCGTTGTGAACCAACAAGTTAAA